ACGGGGAGGGGGGGGTTTATCCAAGTCAATAAAGTTATAAAGAGCCTTTGCAACTCTGAAATTCCTATCGTTAAAATAAAATTAAAATCATTAAAATATTATGGGATGAAGTATTAAAGGGAAGGAGATAAAAGGGAGGAAGTTACTTTGGGAAAGGGTCTGTACAAATTAATCCTGATGGTTTTGTCTGCGGTGGGGGGGGGGAGAAATCTGAAAATCTGAATTAAGAAAAGCCCCACACCGAGTGCTTTTTATGTCCAAACATCCTGATTTTCAGGCAGCTTTCAGACAGCACCACTCCCTCCTGCAGCAGCTGTGTCTGAGAAACCTGTTGGAGCCAGAAATCCAGGAGAAATTCAAAAAGATTCCCGAGTCACAGCCAATTAAACCAGGAAACCACCACGGCCAGAGCGTCGTTGCTGCTGCTGCAGCTTTGGCAGTGGGGAGTCCCAGAGTTCCTCATTTTCAGGGTTTTCCCATTTTTTTTTTGGTTTGAAGAAGCTCCTCCTCCTCCTGCAATTCCTTTTCTCCATCTCACACACACACAAAAAAAATAAAAAATAAAAAAATCCACCCACGAGGGCAATGGGTCAGAGAATTCCAGGATGGTTTGGGTTGGAAGGGACCTCAAAGATCACCCAGTTCCAACTCAACTCAAGATTATTTGAGAAACTTCAGTGGATTTTAAACTTTTTTTTTTAGGCTTTTCCCTACCAAAACCAACAACACACTGGGAGCCTGTGCTGTCTGTGCAGGCCTGGAAGCTCCTGGGGTTTTATTCCAGAATAAAAACCTGGAATAATCCCCTTTGGGGTTAAATATTGCCTGCTTGAGAGGTTGGATGCTACATCTACACCTGATTCCAGGTGAGTTGGGACACAAAGTCCCCTTTTTCCACCTGATTTTCCACAGCACAAACCCTACAGAGATGATAATTCCAATCTTAGCTCAGAGCTCTGGTTCAAGGAATCTTTCCCTGCTGTGGGAATCCCCCAACGCCTTCGGGCTGAGCTTTCCAACCAAAACACCACCTCCAAGGAAGCATTTATCCCAAAAATTCCCTCCTTTTCGGGGTGAAAGCAGAGCTTTTGTGAAGTCTGGAACTCTGAACACCCCCAGCCAGGTCTCTCCCTCCTGGAAGGACTCTGGAAGCTCAGCAGTTCTTGGCTGCTCATGCCACAACCCCACTCGACACCTCGAACCCTCTTCCCGACCTTTTCCATCCTTTTCCCACCTTCTCCCACGTTCTGGGAGGAAACAACCAGGCTGGGGAATACTCCAGATGAGGTGAACTGCTGCCAGGTTTGGAGATTCTCTCCAAAAAGGATCACAAACAGCTTCTGCACCAGGTAAAAAAAAAACCCTCTGACCACATCCAGGATCGCTCAGGTCAGGAGGGATCCATAAGGATCAGAGTCCCACGTGAATCCTTATGGAAAAGAACCTTCCAAGCTCACAATTCCCTTTTTCCCCTGTGGTTATTAAGCAGATCCCCACATTTAATTCACCTCCTGCCAGCAGCACCACCAAACTAAGACGTTCAGGAGCACCTGGAGTTCCTCAAAATCCTCGGCAGCGTTTAACGGCCGGAACGATCCAACTGTCACCCCAAACCTCCCCAGCACCTTGGCCAGTCCCAGAGAAATGACATCAGACCCCCATCCAGTGGAACCTCCCTAAATTCTCTCTTCCACACCAAATATCCTCAGCCCTCAGTTCTCCCCATCCCCAATTTTGCAGTCGCACGATCCCAAAATTCCACCAGCTCTCCCATATTCCAAGTCACAGGCACTGGGGGGGGGAAGGGGGATGAACAACTCCAGCTGAATTCCCTACCCTTTCACTCACTGGCACGAAGTTTTTTTTTTTTTTGGGCTTGGCAACAGGTCTCCCAGTCAGTGCAAATCAGCAAATCCTATTTATTGAGGAACTGGAAGAGGGAGCGAATATAGGAATTACACAAACTGAAGCTCTGCACCAGTTTGGACATCCTATTCCCAAAGAAAAATTATATGCACCTAGAGGAAAAGCTTGGTGAATTCAACAAAAAAAGCTTTGAAACCCCCCACCCCCCCAAAAAAAATAGTATTTAATTTAGGTCAGACGAAATAAAATTAATTTTAATGCCATTTTTGCCCCAAGTTTTGCTACAGGAAATTTCTCTATGACCACGACACCCTTTACAAACACAACCTCAGGACTAATTCTCAAAAAATCCCCCTAAAAAAAAAGAGTATAAAATAAATTATGCTTCCTAAAGGAACTGATCCTGTGGAGCTTCACAAGAGCAGAGCTCGGAGCGAACTGTTCCCCAAAAAAAAAAAATGGGATTTTTAATGCTGACACATCCAAGGCCAAGCACTGTGGTCCTCAGACAGCAGCAGGCACGGAAACTGGCTCCGGATTTTCCCCTGGAACAGCAGAGAGCACCCAAACCAGGAATATTTAGAGGTGTTGAACAGGATGTGGGGGAAGCTCTTCCCACGGAACTGCTGCTGTCTGTGCTCCCTGCTGGTGGATTCGGAGCCACCAGCGGGATCTCCGAGGCTCCAAAGGGTGTGGGAACACCCAGGAGACATGGATAGACCCAGGAGACATGGATAGACAGGGAACACCTCCCCTGGATCCCACTGATCCCCCCAGAGCCCCCCCAGCTCAGCTCCAACCAGCCCTTCCCGCTCCTGCTCCAACTCCATGCTTGGAATTCTGTTGTGGCCTCACCAATCTCTTGATCCTCCCCTCCCATTTTATCCACAGCTACAGGGAAAATTAAATAGTTTAACTGGGAATTACTCCATCACCAAAGCTCCTGGAATACGTGGATAATCCCCTTTCCCAAGTTTAGCAGCTAAGAAACACCCAGGAGGAAAACTTCCCACCAACAGTGGGATAAACCTACGGGATAAGTAGCTCAACTAATCACCCAAAAAAAATAAAAATAAAATGCATCAAACCATGAAGATTTCAACAAAATATTAAATAGAATAAATTACTAATCAGAAAAGTCTGACAAGTGCTACCTCGGATTTGAAGGGGAAGAATATTTCCATTGGAAGGAGAATTCCTTTGATTGAGCCTGGAGAGGGAAAACAGAGGGAATTTCCCTGGGTCTACCCAAAACTCTTCATCCACAGGTGCCCCCTTGAGAGTTCTTGCAGCTGGAAAAGTCTTTGTCCTCTCTCTTGAGGGTTACAAGGAGTGGTTTTGTCCTTTGCCATCCTATTTTTTCCTGGCAAACAGCAAGTCCAGGGCAGCTCTCACTGAGAGATACTATAACAGAGCCAGTCAGCATTGGAAAAACTAAAACAAGGGAGGTTTAAAACGTTTCAAAAAGTTGATTTATATATATATATATATATATATTTGTAAAAGTATTAATCAAATCACAGACTTCTTTCATTTAAAAGGCTCCTCGAGGAGCTCGACTGGTCCTCAGCCACCAGTTTGGAGTCTGTTCCTGCTGCAACATCTTCTGGTTTCTGTTGGAATCTCGTGATTTGGCAGCAAAATCTCCACATGTGACCAGCAGGCATCACCCACTTCTCAAGTCCTGCTTGTGCCCTTCCCCAAAAGAGAATTCCTGGGAAAGTCCACACAAGCAGCAGCACTTCGGAGCCTCCCACTGGGAGAGGGGGGAAAGAGCCTGGAATCCTCACCCAAAGCAAAATTCCTTGTTTCCAAACCACTGCCTGGGCTTTCCAGGTGGTGGGAAGAGGTTGGAGATCTGGGATTAGATTTGACAGGACCTCTTTTAATCTGTATTTTGACGCCTCCTCTAAACCAGAGGCGGCGATTCGGGATTTGGGTTAAACATCACTGGGATGAGGGGGGGAAAGATTTGTAACTAAGGAAGTTATAAATTACTCAACCTCTGCCTTAAAACCAAACAGGGAGCACCAAGAGGCCGGGATGAAGATGTCCCATGGGGAAAGTGGCTTTTAGCAAAGCTCTTTAACCACTGATGGTTCATTTTGGGCACTCCCGAGGTGTTCGGTGCAGGAGGTCCACTTGAGGTTGACTTGAGGAAGCAAGGTGGCCAAGAGGGANGGGGGAAAGATTTGTAACTAAGGAAGTTATAAATTACTCAACCTCTGCCTTAAAGCCAAACAGGGAGCACCAAGAGGCCGGGATGAAGATGTCCCATGGGGAAAGTGGCCTTTAGCAAAGCTCTTTAACCACTGATGGTTCATTTTGGGCACTCCCGAGGTGTTTGGTGCAGGAGGTCCACTGGAGGTTGACTTGAGGGAAGAAGGTGGCCAAGAGGGAGCCAGGAAAAAAAAAGAAGATATTTGGGAATATTTGGCGAGAGTTTGGCCCCAAAAAACCCAAATCCTGCTCCAGGCAAAAGGAATCCAAATACAGCCCTTCTACCTGCAGCTACACTGAACCAGCACATCACAGAGACCCCACTGATGTTTGGAGGGTGTGGGGTGAGGAGTCAGTGCCTAAAATAATTCCCCATTTCAGCAAAGCAATTGGAGACTCCTCATCCCCCACCAAACTCTTCTCCAAGGCAGTCCCACGCCATCCCAACTCTTTCCAGGTGTACTTTTACCTTCTAATTTGGGTCAAAGAGAGAGGGGAGGGGGGAAAGAAACCCCAAAACTGACTGAAAGCAAACCTTTCAACTCAAAGACAAGCCAGTAGAGGGCTGGGTTATCCATTCCCTGCACCTGAAGGCCAAGTCCAGGTGAGGAACTTCCCATATCCGTGCCAGATTCCATCCCCTGGCTGACAGGGAAGCTCCCAGCACACACACACCCACTTCAGTCACTCAGGAACGAGGTGTCTTGAAAGAAGAGAGTTTGAATCCTTTGTTGCCAAGGCTGAAACTCACAGGTTCGACAAAAAAAAAATAAAAGTCCATTTCTAGAAGAGGAATTTTCCTTTTTTTTGTTGTTTTTTTTTTCTGTTTGTTTGTTTGGGTTATTTTTTTTTTGGAATCTCCAATTCTGGGTCCGGAACGTCTCAGCCCCGGGTTTTGTTTTTTTTGTTGTTGGTTTTTTTTTCCCCCCCAGTACTTCAGCAACAGGGGAAAAATTTTGGAAGTGCAATACCAGGCTGGCCTCCCTGCCCACGCTCAGTGTTCGTGCTGGCAGTTGATTTTGTCCTCGGAGTGCTCCAAGAGATCCAGCATCTCCTCTATGATGGCCTGCAGGGCCCGGCCCAGCTGTTCCGCGGAATAAGGTTTTCCCAGCGGGGGAACGTGGACAAACGCCGACCTCCCACGGCTCTGGTACAAGGAGGTGTAGTAGGTGAAGTCACAGAGGTACCTGGAACACAAAAAGAGGGATTATTTACCCCAGAAAAATCACACAAATACAGGTCAGGACGAGCCGTTTGTGGATCAGCACAACAGCGGGATTTAGTGGGATAAAGTGGAATACGAGCCTGGAATTGTGAGTCTGGGATTGTTCTAATTAAATCTAAGACAAAAAAAACCCACGAAGAACTGCTTTTTTATATCCCTGATGGTTGGGTGACCAATGAAAAATAGGGGGTGTTGCCAACCCTGTGAGAAGTGAGGGGTGGGAGACCTCAAAAGCCACGTGGATGTGGCACTTGGGGACATGTGGTGGCCCTGGCAGTGCTGGGGGAATGGTTGGAATTGATGACCTTTGAGGGCTTTTCCAACCTTGTGATTCCATGACAAGTGTATGAATTTTAGGGGCCTCAAGAGCTGAGCACGAAGGGAACACACGGGACACGTTCGCGTGAGGTGGTGGCTGCC